GAGAATTTCTTTTAAGGCTTGTTGTGTGGTAGTGAACTCCCACAGTTGTTGTTTGTCTGAGAAATATACTATTTGTCCTTCATTTCAGAAGGATAGCCTTGCTGAGTAAAGTATTCTTGGCTGGAAATCTTTGTCTTTTAGTATTTTGAATATATCATCCCATTCTTTTCTGGCTTTTAGGGTTTGTGATGAAAAGTCTGATGTTAGTCTGATTGGGGCTCCCTTATAGGTGACTTGATGCTTCTCTTTTGCCACTTTTAAGATTCTCTCTTTTTCTTGGAGTTTTGACAATTTGACTATAACATGTGTTGGAGAGAACCTTTCTGGGTTGAATATGTTTGGGGATCTTTGAGCCTCCTGAATCTGAAGATCTGTGTCTTTCCCTGTACTTGGGAAGTTTTCTGCTATTATTTTGTTGAATGTATTTTCAATGCCATTTCCTTTTTCCTCCTCTTCTGGAATACCCATGATTCAGATATTTGAGTGCTTAAGGTTGTCTGTTATCTTTCAGATTTTCTTCAATGTTTTTAATTCTTTCTTTCTTTCTTTCTTTCTTGGCAGCTGGCTGGTATGGTGATCTGAACCCTTTACCTTGTTGTTATCAGCACCATGCTCTAAACCAACTAAGCTAAGTGGCCAGCCTTTTTTTTCTTTTCTTTTCTTTTCTTTTCTTTGTCTGCCTGTGTTATTTCAAACAGCCCATCTTCATGGTCAGACATTCTCTCTTCTGCTTGTTCGAGCCTTCTCGTTAAACTCTCTGTTGTGTTTTTATTTTGTTGAATGAATTCTTTAGTTCTGCAAGCTCTGCTACATTCTTTTTCAGGGCACTGATTTCTTTGTACATTTCTTCTTTCAGGTCCTGTATACTTTTTCTCATTTTGTTGTGTTGTCTGACTGAGTTTTCTTGTATCTCATTTAGTTTCCTTAGAATTGTTGTTCAAAATTCCTTGTCAGTCATTTCAAGGATTTCCTGTTCTATAGATCTAGAGCTTGGGAGTTATTATTACCATTTGGTGGTGGTGTACTTTCTTGATTTTTCATATGAATGGTATCTTTCCTTTGGTGTTTAGTCATTGTGGCAGGGAATTTCATGGTCCACTTATTTGACCCTAATTTCTGGCTAGGGTCAGAGGGGCTGCTCATGGGGAAACAGAGGTCCCTTCTCTGGGCATCTACACCCTCTCGAGAAGTCCCATCAGAGCACACAGCCCTCCTGGAATACTCAGCCTTGGGGAACTGGGCAGAGTGTCGCTGGGGAAAGATTAGTAGTTCTCTTCAATGGAAGACTTCCTCATCTCATTAAAGACAATACCACTAAGGCTCAGATCTTATAGGAATCGAGGTTTGGGTCACCCCACCTGATCAAGTATTCTTTCTAACCAAGGCATTAGCTGAACAGGTGGTGAAAGAAAGCAGATTTGATGATAAACTTAGACCTGTTACTAGCTAATAAGGCAGGAAGAATGAGAACAATGTTTTATGTTAATTTTCTTCTGTCAGATTGTATAATGAGCTCTGGTGATAGTAACTATCTTAGGTTGGGCTCCCACAGAACCAGAACTTGGGACAAAGATATGAGTGCTCACTATGTATTTGAGAGATGATTCCAGGAAGTATGATAGGATAGTGAGGAAATGAGCAAGGGAAGGTAAGGAAGAGAAGACAATAAAATGTTCATTATATTGAGCATTTTATTTCTTGGGAAAATTAGGGTTTACCCCTACTGGGAAAATCTGGGGGACAGTATAGCTATGACTCAGAGTTATCACAACAGCTGTTTAAAGAAGATGGGATATATATCTACTAAATCCTGGTATCACTGGTTGACAGATGCTCTTGGGGTTAAATATTAACTCTTGGGTATTTCTGCCCTGCCCTCTGAACTCTCGGCCAACCATAGAGTCCTTGCCATTCAGGGCTATTCGTTTGGTGTGCATGAGAACAATGAATGCTAAGCCACAGTAATATAAATGGGACACCAACAACATCTTCTACAACAGTGTTTTAGATTTCAGTTGAGAATATAATAGAATTGATATAATCCCATGATTGTATAGTAACTAATGGGATTTAGTATATCCTAAGAACTTTTTTCATTCAAGAATTTTTTTTTTTTTTTTTTTGCCTAGCAAAGAGCAATAATAGATTATGAGGCACCAAGGTGATGGATTGTGTTGGATATCTTCTGTTGCTACAGTTCCACTCTCTACTTTTCCTCACCCTGCTCTGTACCTAAGGAGGTTGACCCATATGGACAACATCAATAGGCAATAATAGATTCTGGGTTCCTTTTAGGCTTGGATTGGGTAGGGCACTGGAAAGAGATCTGAGGGCCTGAGGAAAGCGAGATCTGGATATTGATCTTTCCTTTCCTTCCCTGCTGAGTCTCAATGGTTTGGCTGTATCTCTGTAATAAAGGCCATGTCTCCTCTTATATGGTCTTGGGTTTGCTTAACTTCTGTCTCCTCTTGTCTCTTCTGGCCTGGAGGTGGTATGGCTCTCTGCTCTTGCTCGACCCAGGGTTCCACCTCTTCCTACACAGATTTCTTTAAACTCTCCTCGCTTCACTTAGTCATTTTTATTAAATTATATATTCTTAAATTACCCAAAGAGAGTATGCTGTCAGGACCGTGATTCATACCATATCTGTGCTAGACATCTGTATTTTTTATGTTTGAATTTGATTCCTGTTTCTTTTCTTTTTTTATATTGGCTCATTTCTTATAGATTTATAAAAGTTCTTTGTGTATTATAGATATTAATTGTCTGCTAAATATATGACAAATAATTTCTCCCAATCTGTTTTTAAAATTTTGTGTATGGCATCTCTATTATACAAACTTTAAAAGCTTTTATATAGTAAAATATGTCAGTATATTTTTCCTTTCATAAAATTTTAGTTTCCTGTCTTGCTTAAGAAGTTCTTACTATAAAATTATTAAAATATTTGACTATATTTTCTCCAGTATTTTTATAAATGTGTTTTGTATATTTAGATACTCAATCTCAGTGTATTTTTGCATATAAAATGAGCATTGGCCAAGCTTCTATTTTTACCTGAAAAGGATATCTAATTGTATTGATGACATTTATGGCTCATTCTGTGTGATTTTTTAAAAATGATAGTAAACACCATCTTTATCATAAATTAAATTTCCCTGCATCCATAAGTTTTATTCTTGTATCTTATATCTCTAGTCTGTTTCCTCATATATTTTTCTATTTCCATGCCAATACTACAATGTTTTAATTAATAAAGCTTTACTGTATGATTTGCTATTTGCTTGGATAAGTCTCCATTCATTATCATTCTTCATCAAATACCAGAAACTATTTTTACAAAATCACTCTACCTCATAAGTTTTATAACCTTAGATTATAATAAAAGCATTTTTACATGAATTATTTGAATTTATATATCAAGTTGGGAATAATTGTTATCTTTTATGCAAGAATATGCTATGTTACTCCATTTCTCTGCTTTTCTTTTATGTGCTTCAATAAAGTTTTATAGTTTTCTTTATTGAACATATCCCATTAAGCTTATTCCTAGGAATTTCATATATTTTGTTAGTATTGTACATGGAATCTTTGTATATTACATATATGAATCAATTATTTCTAGTGGGAGGAACATCTTTTGATTTCTAAATTTGTCTTCTCTACATTAGTCACTCTATCAAATTCTTTGCTTACATTTTATGGTTTATTTAGTTGGTTTCTCTGGCTCTTCTAGGTATACAATTATATACACATATGTAATAATATATGTAATATAATGTATATATTTAGAATATAGACCTGGGTTCAAAAGTGAAAAGAAGAAAACTTCTGAATATGAATATTAAATAGTCAATGAGGAAACATGTAGTCTTAGTGAAATCTGGAGCTGACACTCCTGGGTGTAGCATATTCAGACATATATGACAAGTGGATAATGGAAGTCAAGATCGTAACCCTATGTCATTGCGAGTTGGAATTTGTACTCCTGAATAATGCTAGCAGTGAACAAAGAGTTTTCTCATCGGTGAATAAGACTGGGAACATTGTCCACATTCTATTAAAGACAAGGCCTGTAATAAGCAAGCTACCCACCAGGTCTTAGTTTACAATAGGGCTACTGGTGAGAAGTCAGCACCTCCAAAACTGTGGTTTCTGTGGATGTGGGCATTTTCCCACAATGGCTTTTGGAGAAGGTCTTAAATGTATGTAGAGCTGAAGACAATGGCATTTGTGTAGTAACCAGCTCCTCCAATCTCCTTCTTAAATGATACAAAATAACTTCACAACTGTGAAAATCTTCCACAAAATCATGGCCTCAGCCATGAATTGAAGATAAAGAATGCTGAAATGCAAAGTCAACAAATTCCCAGTACAGGATCTTTGACATTCTTATCCCACCCTGCTTGCTGCAAGGCTTTGTGGTGAGCAAAGGCAGACTAAGAAAAACTGCAGGGAAGGCAGAGGACAGAGAGGCTAGCAAAGGGTCTTACGGGTGATTGGGAATGATCACTCCAAGGATAAATTCACGATAAAGTTGAGAGTTCAGAAAAGGGACTAGAAGAAAGGGCTTTCAATCTATCTGCGATTTAATGGGTCAAATGCCATGTAAAGGGTCAGCTGTGCAACTTGAAGGATGAGGCTTGCCATAAAGGTTTAGGCGCCTGATTTAAAGGGTCAGGAATGATTTTAAAGGAGAGGTAAGATTGAAAGGTAGTATTCCAAATACATAGCTTCTGGCGGAAAAAGAAGTTAAATGGGGACAAACACCCTTTGCTATCTGAATGGTGCCAGGGAAGAGAAGGAAAAGGGAAAAATTTAGGATCCTGCAAGACGAAAGGGAAGCACATAATTAGAGAACAGACAACTGCTCTCTTTGAACAAAAAAAACCAATCGTGACAAATTAACAGATTTTTTTCCTCTTTCTCTCTCTCTGTTGTCATAGCTCTGTTGTAATAAAATACCCAGAGTTGAAATTTTTCATTTTTCTTTATTAAAGCACTAAAGATGATGGTTATCCACAATGGCTGTCAACTTGGTGAATTTGTTTTCTTATTACCACACTTATTGCATGGTCTACATCAATGCCACTGTCATGCTTTCCACACAATATTCCAGGTAACTATAAAAATATAATTCATTAATTTAAAGGACAGTAAGCCACCCCCTGCCCCCAGCCCCATTCTCAGAGCATGTCAGTATTACATTTCTTTGAGAATATGCCTCTTGTGCTTGTAGTGGTCTGTCATAGAGATACTCTGTCATGTGCTAGTGTTATTTGAACAAATGAAGCAGTATTACAGCCAAATCTTATTTTATTTATGTATCAGAATTTCATTAGTACATATTTTTGTTTTTCATTATTTCATTTTAAAAATGCTTTATATCTAGAGTTTATAAGTTGTCTATAAAAATTTATTAAATTTTTATTAAATTTATTTTTATTAAATTTTTGCAATTTTTATACATTAAAAAACTTTTAATACATTTTTACTAAATTTATTAAATTTTTAATAATTTTTTTATTAAATTTATTAAAATTTTAATAATTTTTAATTAAATTATAATAAATTTGTTTTGCAAACCCTGAAAAATAGTCATAGGAGCTACATTTCAATTATTTAGTAGACACTGGTAGCTAGTGGCTACAGTATTGGACAGTGGAGATATAGAAAATTTTCATTATCACAAATGTTCTTAAAAGACAGCACTGTTCTAGAAGAATGTGTCTTTTAATTAATTGGATCGACCTTAACTTGTTCAAAAACATCTCATTTGCCATTCCAGGGCCAACTGTACTTATTAGAATGTGTATGTGTGTTCCATGTATGTGTTTTAATTATTTGAACATGTCAAAAGAGTCTTTTACTTGTTAACATAGTACAGCAAGGATGAAAGCTGGGGAATGTAAACAACCTTGTTTGTTTGACAGCAAGCTTAAAGATCAGAAATTCAGAAGTGGTAAAAAGGATTTCTTTGCTGCTATTAAGGTAAAGTAAAATACTTTACATGAACAAGTCAAATAAGTTGATCTGTATACTTTTCTAATAGTGAACTTAAGAAAATAACTATAAAATGTTCAACTTAAATCTGGGTGGGACTTTTGAAGTCTTTAATTAACCTATTCAATTTAGAGATAAAGGAAAGTAGGGCTCCCCTTACCTATGTGGCTTTGCCAAGAACTTGGCTAATGTCAAAGACTGGTACCAGGTATTTCTCTTCTATTTCTTTTCATTTTAACTTTATATTATTTTGTGTTTTTTTCCCCCTGCAGAAATAAATAAGGTATTTAATGAGATAGCATGCAGGTCTGAACATTATCTTTTTATTATATATAAATGACTCAGAAGAGAACTCTAGAAGTTAACAAATATACCACAACATTATACTTCATGGAAAACATCTCATCTCAATATCAAATGGAGAAGAATTATTTGTTTCTTTAAGTGAGAAACAAGGCTTACAATACAGACATCATGGAGTAAAAAAATGCCAACTTCTAAATAATTATTCCACTTTCAATTTATTTTCTCTTCTCTTATTTATAACTTTATCTTTATTTGCTTGAAGAATTGTATTTCTCACATATAAATTTTATCAAGTCATTTCCCAGATAACCTAATAGATGAATTTCACACCCTTTTAATAGGACTTTAGAGACTCTTCACAATAGCATCAACAAAATTTTCCTACCTCATTTCTTCAAAATTTTATCCCTATTTCTCCCACATTCCAGCCACTTTCTGGATGCTTTCGATACTTTTATAGTTCTGTACCTTTGTAGATGCTAATCTCTCTACTTGAAATGTTCATTCTCCTCTGTTCCCAAAAACTCTTTGCCAAATTGTACCCTATAGTCCGGGGCAAAATGAGTCTCTCCCTCCTTAATGCTTTGATAGGTCTTTGTTTAATATAATATAATATAATATAATATAATATAATATAATATAATATAATATAATATAATATA